CCCCCCAAAAATTTTTTGGAATAATGTAAACTTTGGTTTACCTATGTAAACTGTGAAGCAGCTGCAGTACTGGACTATGTAAACAATCTTTAAACCACAATAGAGCTCATTTTAACAGGCTTAGTCTTAATAATTTTTACTTCCCTAAAAGTTTTGCACAAGCTTAGTTGACCACACCCCCTAATTACCCCTCCCATTTCATAATTGCCCCCCCAAAAATTAAATCCTAGATCCACCCCTGGTTCCTAAGTCACTCAACTGATTTTTGGTCATATTTGAGCATTGGTAGTTCTTGTGGTTTAATTTGTAATTTTTTAAAAATTATTGCAAAGGGCCCCTAATTTTAATCTTCCCCTGGGCCCCATGTCTTCTCTCAGCGGGCCTGACTGTGACTGCTGGATCGAGCCATCTTAGCTGCATGCCGCCATTTTGTTAATTAAAGAAGCTTGCCATGTGCTCCAAAATTTGGGTGTGGTCGCGCATGCTCAGATATATCATAGATATTAGAGTAAATGAATTACTCTAATAATTTCATTTACTCTAATATCTATGGATATATCTGCAGCTCTGGAAGAAGCAATTAATTTTTTTACCAAGCTATGCTTGGAATCAACTTACTGCAATACTTTAGTGGAGGTTTCCAGCTAAAACAAGGTATTAATTTTACATGTTACTGTTTTATCAAATGTGTTATTTTATTTTAAAAAACAAACAATTAATTAATGTTATGACTTATGATATGCAATGATAATTATGAACTTGACAACAGCCTGGAAGAACAGCAATAGCAGGGAAGATGGACACTCTTAGCTCACAGATTCTTGAACAAGGACTTGTGTCAAGACTAGTATTAGTTTCACTTGTCATCAGTATAGTTGATATTCCTTCAGCATGTCTATTCAGTGCTGTCTCTCATAAATGTTATAACAATGATAATAATAATAATAAAGAAAATTATTGTTTGTGTAAAATCAACAAGTATTACAATTGCAATTAAAGAAATACTATAAATATTATTAAAAAATCAACAAAAACAAGAACATAAAAAATAAAAAAAAACAAGATGAAGTAGGATTCCGAACGACCGA